GTTTAGGTAATTATAGCATTACAGTAAATTCAGACATTAAGTTTGATCTGGAGATGCCATTTAACCCATTTGTAAAAAGTAGTGGGACCACTTTCTTTTGTACTCCTCCACTTTATTCAGCAGTCGATAAGATAATCTCATAGGGCAGCAAGTTGGCCCAGGGAGCTATGCCAATGAGTTGGAGAGGGGGATAACTGGACCCCTCCACTCCCTCGTTAGCAGCTTCCTCCCCAACATAATGAATGTCTGCACCCATTGCGAAAGACGAAAGGCAAGTGGCCCAATGTTGAAGCATCTCCAAGAATACAGAGCCTGCAAAGAGGTATATTCTGGCCAACTATTTTTTCTAAAATTTTGTGAACTGATGACCAATATTCTTGGACTTTTGGACACTCCCAAAGTGCATGCACCAATGTCCTCCTGACATTTCCAACAAACCGGGATATCTAACAAACCCACCCTGGACAGTCTGTGTGGTGTCCAGTATACTCTGTGTAGAATCTTCAATTGCACCAGTCTCGTTTTTAGTTCCCTTGACATTTTCTTCCCATTTTTACGAACTGAATCCCATTCCTCATCTGTGAGACTAAAGTTTACATCTGTTTTCCAGGATCACTTAAGAGACATAATGTTAGGATCCAAGGCTGTCATCAACAATCTGTAATAAACCGAGGCTTCATGCCCATGACCAAACACCTTTTTTTTTTTTTTTATATATCTTCCAGTGTATTACAGCTTACAGGAACAAAAATGGAGGAACCAGAAGTCTTAACCAATACACTTTTTAAATGTAAATATTTCCAGAAATCTTGTATGGGTAACTCAAATTCCCCAACCAGTGTTTCAAAGGATTTTAATGAGATATTTTCATAAAAGTCACCTGTTACACATATGAACACATTAAAAACCAGGGCTTCCATAAAAAAGAGTTTTTACCTATGCAGAGCTTGGGATTATGCCAAACACCGGCAGATTTATTGAGATGCGGGATGAATTTAAAAAAAACTGATTTTTTTTTTTCCACAACCCTAAATGCATTTTTAAGTAGTTTTTTATGCATATGTTAAAAAAAATCAAAAACATTGAAAAAATGTACATTTTGACAGCTATTGTGGTCTTAAGTTTTGGAGTCAGCCCATGTAAAAATGACCTCCACATCCAACGCAAAAATGTATACATTTCTGCCAGCTTTACAGATGTGAGCAAAATTTAGGCTGGTAGTAGCTGAGAGTTATACTCCACACATTCTTTGAGCACTAACACATTATGTGAGATTACATAACATACATGAGACTGCACACTGAACCTATACTTCTGTCACCTCTCATGAGGATTTATTTTACACTTTGTTTTTGTTGACATTATTCTAACCCAGAGTCAGAGTCAGCTAGGTTTTATTGTCATTTCAGCTACGTACAAGTACATACTGAAATGAAACAGCGTTCCTCCAGGATCACGGTGCAACACAGAACATTACTTGCAAAAACAATACAACACAGTGCAGATATACAACAGAACAATAAATACTTACAGACCTATAATAAATGCAGAGACATCTAACCTAATCTAAGCATTCTAATCTAAACAATA